TCCAAACCTCAAAAATGCAGCAAATAGCCCAAGTAAATCATCCACTGAAACCGGAGAGGTGCAATCCTTTATTCAAAACGGATCACCTAATAACCAAATCGCGCGAATCCTGCATTCCGTGTGAAATATTGAATAGCCCAGAACTATTAAAGTTATTGTTTCAAATAACTAACCTATTTTGATGTGGCAACGTGCTTCCGGTAAATGATTGTTTTACAATTGCACTTTAATCAGTGGTATACAGAATCGTTACTTATTTTGGCTGGTGGATCTTCGCCTGTGTACGGAAGAGTTTAATCTTTGTTATTTGTTTATTTTGTTTGAACAGCTCAGCATCCGTAATTCGTAATCCTGCAATTGTTATTGTGCTGCCAAATGTAACTCTCCCAAATGAATGATATTTTGAAGCAACTTCACTGGGGAAGATGGTATTTGCAAATCGTCCACCTATATTCGGTGGCCATGCTTTTAAATATGTTATCCTTGCTTCATGTATATTTTTTTAAAACCGTTTTAATTTCCATCTTATTTGTGTTAAACCGTAAACAAAATCTACTTTGTATTTTTCGAATTGTTCGATTAAGAGAAGCAAGATGCCAACATTTGTCTTCAGTGAATAGTGTTTTGATTCATTGTAGCAGGAATAAAGACAATGATAACAAATGTGCTAATATATCCTTCTGATGATAATAGCAATATTCACATTATGGATTAAATTGTATAGCGGTATGGGATTTCTTTTATTTATGAATAAGATACAGCAGGCGACAGAGCGTACTTTGAAGCTCCTGATGTCAAATCGAATCGATGTGAGGTGCAGGTTATTACATTGTGCTGCTGCTGCATAATCCACATGTAATATTTTAGTTGCAACTTCTCCGGCACTGTCGGTGTGGAGACCAGTGACTCCTATATGTCTGCAACAACCAAGAAACGATCCGAGTGTAATTCGCAAAACAGAAAGTCCCGCGCTCTCTCCGCGAACGCCTAAGTATCAACCAAAGTAATATGATTGCTGGTTAGGTCAGTTAACTAGTCACGACAAAATGTAAATAATTTTGAGATAGTTAAGTGCAGTCCTAACTGCGTTAATGAACGGTCTTCTACAAATGCTTACATTGTTTAACTATTTCAGTTAAACGAAGTAGTTCGACTACGTTGTAATGGTGTTCTTAAACAATTGGTACATATTTGTCTCTCCACAGTGCATATTACTTATAACCATCTGGCCAGAAACAGGTTATACTCAAGTGGTTCGTGTTCAGGCCCGTTGTCCAGTTTGTTGTCTCGGTATTGCATCAATGAAGCGCTGAAAGATTCCCTTCAAGTTCCTAGTCATTTTATCTGTGGATTTTTTTTTTCAGAATCCCCAGTGCAGTTTTAGGGCAATGTGCTCACTTCAGCAGTTGCAATCATTTTCTTTTACTTCTGGGATTTGTAGACAACCCTATTTTGCGCGATTTGGACCAATCCAGTGCAGTTTGAGAGATGTTGCCTCTGAAAAATGAACTTTGTATCAATTTAATTTGGATCTAGAGGCAAAAGAGTTCAAATCACATTCTTCTTTAGAGGCCCCTGTTTTAAAAAAATAATACGTTTTTCTTCACTTTGATAAATAATGTAATAGTTTGTACACTATCGAGAGATCATTAATCATATTATCATTCAATGTCCTTATCTCTCATTTTAGCTGAATTAAGAGGGAATGTGTTCGCAATTGGGCAATAATAATACAGCACGGTGCCTATTGTATCTGCAGATTCTACCAGCGCCAACACAGCCAGTTCCAATCAAATCGAGTCAGTCCCCAGATCAAAAGTCTACACATATTAAGACGTTGGCCATGATGCCTATTTATTTGCAGAGGTGCGCTTATGCCGATATACGCGAAATTAAATCGTGCCATATCCATTAAAGTCCAGAAAGACTACGCGGTTTATTGTGAGACTGACTTTTGGTCGTTTAGTTGTAACAATTCTAACAAACAGAGTAAATCTTGCAAAACACACTTTATTATATCCGAAATGCGCATGCATCAAAGGTATTTAAGAAGATTCGATTACATACTGTATATAATGTTTACACACAGCTTTTCAAGCACAAATGTGCCACTCACCTATCCACAGACATACATGGCTAAATACATGTGGAAGCGGCACATGTTGCTAGGATATATTTTCATACTCAGAATTAAGAGGAAATATGGAGACTGGGTGAGTTGCAACTTCGTATATAACATTCATTAAGGGTAACATTAAGTCTTATCCATCGACAAGATTGAACCGTATGTGTGACCATGTGTTCAAGTAGGGTTTTGAATAATCAGTTTAGTTAGAATGCGACTTGTCCTTACACCTGCCAGAGAAACAAACGTACAGATTTTAAAATGCAGCCGCTCTCTGCCCTGAGCTACTCCGATCCGATCCATTGTCACAGATGTAACTTCTGATGTGATAAATAGCATCATACAACAAACTCTCCTTCGAACAATATCTAGCTTTAATAAAGACTAGAAAGAAGCAAATCGCTGTCGACAGTGGAGTGCAGGAATAATAGTGATATTGAAATAGGCTCTGCTTTACAATCCAAGGTGTGGTCTCAATCTGAGCTCTCACTCCTTTAATACAACGCTGTTTGAGACAGAATGCAAAATTGTACCATTTGGTTTTTAAGTGAACCTTTTAAAATATTAATAATAATATGGTGATGTAACGCTGTCCAGTCAAGGATGTTCATATATTGTTCAGTTTAAATTCTGTGTCCGTTAATTTGACCAGAATTTACACAATTTATCAAATAAGCTGTTTTACTGGGTTTTACTGAGCAGAATAACGAACCGCACATCATTGCTAGGTTTATCTGGAACTCTGCTGCTCTCCACCTTACAAAACAACAGCATGTTTTAACTGTTAGTTATTTACCATCCTGAGGTATTCGGGAATATAGCAGAAAAGTATTGTATTATTTAGATTTACACCTTCCCTTTGTTCCTCCCCGGCCACACTTTTTCTGGACTATATCAGTGGCTATCCTATTAATATATGCTCGCAGAAGGTCTGCCTGTGACCGACTGGACACATACCAATGTTTCGTTCTCTTTGCGAAACTGATCTGAAATTAACAAGTAATCTACTGAGTTGAAAAGGATCTCTTGTCTGATTGAAAAATGCAAGCTTTCTATAATTCGAATTCGAAATCTGAGTTGTCTGTTGGTCTGATCAGATTTCCTTATCATGTCCTATTGAAAAAGCAGAAATAAAATGCAGGAGACAGCAAATCTATTCACAGACAATGGTGCTGTTACGAAGGTGCAAAACAAAATCTCCAAAGCACATAATAGAAACCTTAAAGGATCCCAAAAAAGTCATATGTGTTAAAACAAGCGCTGATTAAATTATTCCAAAAAAATAAACCCAGTCTGTAATCTGACCATTCGACAAGCCGAATGCATGCAATAAAATAATGTTTCACATTTACAGTGCTATATTCACGGCCAGAGCTTTCACACTATTGAGACATTGTTTAAACTGTTTAGGGTCACTTACGTTTACCAGTGAATTAATGTTTCACTTAATTGTCCTCCTAGTTAACCGAAATATTCTAAAATCAAGATTGCTTTGAGAGGTTTGTTTTTTCCTCCTAAGTAATATATAAATAGGCCTTACCTTTTCTGTCAGATGGATGCATGATACTGCTACAGAATCCATCTGATTTTTGTGTCACCTGAATGTAGTTATTTTAACATTTACTGTTGCAGTACAGACTTCAGTTATTTCATCCACAAGGGCATCTTCCCAGAATCTCCGCTCTCGGCTGATGGTGGGGCGAAAAGGATAGTACCGTCCGTGAGATGAGATTTAAAGGACCGTGTAAATAATAGTTATAAAGTTCTTTTTATAGTGAGATAAGCATTGAAACTAAACGCTGCAGTTAGACAACCACTTTGATAAGAGGATAATTGATGCGACAGTAGCGTATAATTAGAGGATAATTTATGCTATATCCACTATTTTATTCCAAATGCGGTCATAATCATTACAAGACAATTGTGGGGAAATTCATTGCAGCAATTTGAAAATAATCACGATAAGTTTTATGTATTTCTAAGTAGGACCATAATTATCTCTACATACATCATCCAAAAATAAATATAACACATGGTTACGTATTTAATTATATTGATAACACAATGAAGTCATTCATAATTTAAATCTAACCCATTTAGTAAGGCGCATGCATATACTTTAAATCATCACTTTATGCATTAACTCAAATTTGCCAAATCGCCAACCACATTCATAATTTGTCTATCTTTCAAGCGGTAGAACACTTTGTGATTCCAATCGAACAGAATGAGTTAACTGACAGCTCTGGGGGATTCCTTATTGGAAGGAAGACTTGGAACAGATTTCTTCGTCTCTTTATTCTCTTTTATGACGAGTTAACTGTCTTCATCATCCCGCTGATGAAATTAACATTTTCATCGATCAGCTCCTTGTAATATTCCGCATGCGCAAGCTAAATTTGTGCAGCTGACTAGTTATATTGTTATTTGTAAGTTCCTTTTGCCGTTTGGTTTTATTAAGAAATGAACTGTTTAAAAATCAGTGTTATGGCACCAGGATTTCAATCTATTCTACAGTCCTGTGCTATCGAAATAACAGTGCCTTTTGAGAGTTATCATTCCTTTGGGTCTTTGTGAAGAAAAAGGAAAGCAATTATGAGCGTTGTTGCAAAGGGCTGTTTGGCCTGGGTTTGAAGTAAGCCGGGTTAACCCACTGCTCACTGGATCCACTCAATCCAGTCCAAGTAGCAGAAGGATGACGAAGCAAAGAGATGACCAATCAGGAGCTGCTGCCCTTTGGAGACAAACCATTCGACTTGTGGCACATTACAGCATCTGCATCAAGTCTGAAAGCAGAGCCTTAACTTTAGCAGAATCCACTAAAAGACTGCCTCAACTCCATCCTTGCTCCATTCAACTTGGATGCACAAAATAACCTTTTACTTACAAAAAGGAGTTAAACACGCCCGCGCTTTCTGCTCGGAAGATTTACCCTCTTCATGAAAAAGAAAAGTATTTCGCCTTTAAGAGTTTTGTTCCCCCCAGTTGAAGTTTTATAATGACCATGACTACGATAGCTGACGGTTTGGAAGCCCCGGACTCTAAATCTGCTTTCATGGAGTTTGGCCAGCAATCCCAGCAGAGCTCTCCGGCCATGTCTCACGGTCACTACCCAGTGCATTGCCTGCACTCAGGAGGACATTCACACCAGCACGACAGCTCGTACCCGGCCGCCAACACTTACAACAGATCTTTACCTTATCCCTACATGAGTCACTCTCATCATAGTCCCTACCTGCCGTCCTACCACAGCAACACCACTGGCAGCCAGACACGTTTAGACGAGACAGGTGAGTCTTCGATCAGACCCAGAGTAATTCACAATCGGCCTTTCCGTGTGTCTTCCTGATTCAATCAACAGCGATATTCTCGAACAGTTCAAACGGCAGACTACTTAAGCCGTGTAAGAAATACACTTCAAATGTTTTGTGTTTTTTTTTCTTGCCCCTGTTCTTTTCTGTTCGATAACCGATTTCTACTTCGCTTCTGAATGTAATTCTATTCATTCTTTGGAAGGTTCTTATTAATAATGTAAACTCGCTGAGTCTTCTGTCTCTTTGTTTATTTTGCCTGGGATATTTCAGTAAGGATATCTATCAGCACGCTTAGAATAAATTTGGTAACATTTTTTGAAAAAGAAGTAAAATTAATCAGCGAGTTAATGAACGCAGACATTATGTCAATATGCAATCGGAACTTCGATTCCTGACTGTTCATTTGATGCAACATAACTTCTTGTCCCCATAACAGTGTACCCCTGTTGACTCTGGCAATTACGTGGTGCCATGTACATACATTTGCAAGCAACTGACGTTTCGTTAACTAATACATCGTACTGTTAAAATGCTTATTTCAGAGTCGCCAGTTGGGCTCAGCATGTTTCTTATTGTAACTTGCCAAGGGGCGAGAGATAATAGAACACTCCTGATTATTTTCACCAGGCCAGATTATTTAGGAGTTGGTAATACTGAGGATCTCTTTAATATCTCCGAGGGAGATATAAAAAAAACTTCCAGAGGAATGAGCAGTTAAGTAGATTTAGAATAGCGCTGTGAAGTGGGCCGTTAAAAAAACGTCGACATGGTGTACCATATGTTTGTTTTCCAGAACAACAAAAGACAACAGTGATTGAAAATGGGGAGATCCGCTTTAATGGGAAAGGGAAAAAGATCCGCAAGCCTCGCACTATTTATTCAAGTCTACAGCTACAGGCGTTAAATCATCGTTTCCAGCAGACTCAATACTTGGCTTTACCAGAGAGAGCTGAGCTGGCCGCTTCGCTGGGGCTCACACAGACACAGGTACAGTGTCCAGGGAAGAGTGGTTTACCAGATAGCTTGAAGAACATCGGCTTTTGGCGTTCGGTCTTCTTGTGACCTGCTGGCTTTTCAAATTATATTTAGTGACTGTTTAAGTCAAATTGCGCGTAACGACGACATTGAAATTCTCCGAAGCTCTAGATATCAGTTATGATGCATGAAAAGGCTGGGTAAATATGGTGCAGAAATATAAAACGCTCCGTCCGATCTCATTCTTCAACTTACAATTAATTTCTTCCTTTCAATTTTAGACAATTTTCTTCATTTGGCGCTATAGTTTATATCAAAACCGAGGCTCTCAAGAACACCGCTGTAAATGCAGTTTAAAGAGTACCACGTGGCCTTAATTCTGTGATGAATATGAGATTGAATCAAATGAGAATACATAGTCTCACTAGTTTGTTTTTATTTTTTAGCATGGTACGTTTTGTGAGAGGATAATTAGAGTTAACATAGTTTCAAACCCAATCCTTACAGATAACTACCATTTGAAGTATAGTTATCAGATTAATAGATCTTTGTTTCAGGACAACTTTAACCCTATATTTAAAACGGAGAATTGTTAGAAATTTGGATCTTTTGCCTGTGCGAAACCACAATAAAATAAATATGTTCAGCACAAGTTGGCCACATGTACAATCTGTTTGCAATTGAATAGCAGCTTACACCACGTTAAAATATTTATTTTCTTAAGTTTATAAATCTCAAGTTATCCAGAATCTGTTTGGGCAATGCAAGCAATAATCTTGTTACGAAGTTCGACGATTCTCCTAATTTGGGCTATGAACAAAATACGTATGTTTTTTTTAAACAAAAGCACCATACGTTTTGGTACAGGTCTATTGTATTCCACTCCGGAACTTCGTTCAGAGCTATTCACTTTGAAATACGAGTGTACTTTAAAAAAAATGCCCCACATATGCAAATACTTCAAGCACACTCATTGAACAAAAACAGAAGTTATTGGAAAAGCTCAGCAGGTCTGGCAGCATCTGTGAAGAAAAATCAGAGTTAACGTTTCGGGACCAGTGACCCTTCCTCAGGAGCTTTTCCGGCAACTTCTGCTTTTGTTTCTGATTTACAGCATCCGCAGTTCTTTCAGCTTTTACACTCATCGAACATTTTGGGATCATGCGCTTTGATGCGTAATTTTCAATTTGCCTGGTAATGATCGGAAGGCATGAACTTAGCAAAGCTTGGCGATCATATATGTAAAATGTGTTTAAAATCTGGATAAACAGCATTGGATAAACCTGCTACGAATAAGCAATATGCGTCAAGATTTGCCGACTGTTATAATAGGCTTCCTTGATTCATTTTCGGCCTCTGCCGGTGCTTTTTGCAAATCCCAGCACTGATGTGCTACAGAACAATGGGAGGTCTGAAACTGAATAGAACTGTCCGTTGGTTAAGAATTTAACTGACTCCGCGCCAGTCTTTCGCCCTCTCTATAACAGCTATAAACAATGATTCGTCCATATCAGTTACAAGATTACTTTTCGATGGGAACCAATTAAAATATTCTTGTTTCACATAATTCAAACATGCTTCAAAAGCAGTTCTCATCTAAAAGGATCTGTGACGATGGATCGACGAATGCTTTCAAAATCTAGACAAAGTAACACATAAGGATTATCTATTGAGTGCCAAGAACAATGAAGTATTGTCATAAGATAAATTGACCGATTTAATTTCAAAATTGCAAGGAGTGTCTAGGTTTTTTTTGTTTCAGGATATCAGTCTCTCTGAGATCTTTCAGATCGTACTTTACAAAACGGTGCGGAAATTCAGCAATAGTGATTGTACCCCGCGCCTGGTTTATTGTCGTTAAGTGTGGCTGTCACTTTCCTTCAATATATTTACCTTGCTTTACTATGAGCTTCCCAAGGAGTAGCACATATGAAAACAATGTCATTACATCGGTTTGATTTAATAGATTATTAGAGCCATTCTTTATTTGTGCATAGAGTTTATAATTCAAGTTCACGCATCACCTTTGATTACCAATGTCTGTTTTGAACGACTTGTGAAATCCTGCTGCGACCTCACCACCGCCTTTTCGGGCGTGGGTGGCGGATTGGAGGTTGGGGTGGCGTGGGAAGATATGAGACAAGAAAATCATTTATGATTTGTTGCTTTAATTTGGATTGTATATGAGGGAAATGAGCTCCATGTGATCAATAAAATGAATAAGACATACTTCTATAAAGCGATCATATTTATAGAATAGGAAACGCACAAATACGATTGAGCAGTAGCCATATACTCGTTTTAAAAACCATCACTATGTTGCAAATGTTATTTAAATATACCATTGCTGACTTTTCCGTCGAATTATCAGGATAATTAACATTTGGTTGAAAGTTATTAAGTCTACAGGAAAATTCTGCAACACTATATTGCACTTTAAATGCATTCATTATTGTTTTGCTGACTTTTTTCATATCTGATTCAGGAGGTTTTCAAGTTCGAAATTCAGAAACTGGGCCTTTCTAATCCTTTAATCTGATCGTCAATTAAATTTCAGGGGTTTTGAACATTCTCGTTTTCCTAATCAATCCGAAAGTGTGCACCAAAACTTCAGTTTATTTTTGTAACATATTCAAGCAAGTGAATAGTTAAATATTTTGTAAAGTGTATGATATGTAATATCTAAGTATCAGAATATTCTTTTTCTATCCTTAACGGAAATTAGAGGGAAGGTATGAAAATGGCTCCATGCATAGTGGAAACTTCAAATGTCAGAAATTATTGTAATGATTGTATTATTTTCATGTATTCTTAAACATCAACCAGTCTGTGGAGAAAACAAACGCAATGTTTAAACCCTTGATTGCTACATCATCACTTGGCAGATCAGGATAGAATGTCCTCATCAGTGAAAGGTAGAAAATACTTTTTATGCCATGGAAGTGGTTTTTAGTATGTTTCGGCCATATTGAAATGAAAACAACTGAACAATGCATGCAAAATTATTTTCTAGAATACTACTTTCAGGCTTTTACAGTGTTCCTGATAATCCCATTTCTGATTATAACCCACCACCTCATTGCAATATTTTCGATGTCAGTGACGATGATAATTTTAGTGAACTCAAGTCAACGATATTGAACACCGTTTAAAGTCCATAACATTTTTTTAAAACTGTTATTGTAGGTGAAGATCTGGTTCCAGAACAAACGCTCAAAGTTTAAGAAACTGATGAAACAGGGCGGGAATCCACTTGAGAATGATTCTGTGCCAGGGTCGGCTGCTCTCTCTCCTCGTTCTCCAGCTATGCCACCAGTGTGGGACATCTCAGCTTCGGCCAAAGGCGTTAACATGGCCCCGAACAATTATATGGCTGGTTATTCCCCCTGGTACTCCACGACCCACCAGGAGACGGTGCAAAGGCAAATGATGTGACAGTCCGAGGCCAGTAACTCACAATGGACAGAACACAATGGGGTTAAAGGGAGCCCATCGTTAGGCAATGCCCAGGTGCGCCGCGACCATTTTGGATGGGAGATCTAGCAACTATTTTCAGTTGCTAAGTGCTATGTTAAAACAAACTGGTAGTGGGCGGAAAAGGAGAAATAGTCAGTGACTGTAGACATTACAAAAGAGCCGCCACTGCCTTCATAGATTCCATGATACCGAATGACCGCAAATACGAATGCAAAATAGAAGATTTGATGCTGATTTTAAAGCAGCATGGTTTCGTGATGCTGAGACGCACTGGAAGCTTATAAAATTACAACTTGTATGTATATATTGTTTAATTTTCAGTTGTACATAGTTTATATGTTTTATGTCTCTTTCATACTGAGTAATAAATCATAAAATCACAAACATACGTGTCTTGTAGTTACACTTGTTTCAAACCACATTCAAAGAATTTCGCTTCAACGATATACTAGTTGCTAATCATGAGTCTCGGTCCGTAAAGAGAGTGCTTTTTTTTCGAATGGGTTTGTGTGAGAGTGGTGGGAATGTCAGATTCCGTCTCTCCTTTGCCAATTTATCTAAAGTCCAGAGAAGTGATTTCAAAGATGTGTTTGACATTGCCTTGCAATGGTTTTACAGACAAACAATCCAGTCTAAAACAGGACCACTGGATTAATCGTAAAATATTTTACAATGAGTAAACACATGCTTCTAACTAACGTTATGAATTCACGCAATCAAATCTGTATTTTCATTGTTTCAAAATATAAATCACAATTGATAACATCGAATAAACTAGAAATAATTTAGCATTGAAAATTGCGAAATGTAATGCACAGTTATTACTATGAACCAGTACACATCTAATTGAGAGCTACTAACGTTAATCCATTGACCACAATTGACCGAAGAAAAGGATAGACACACCATTTCAAAATGACAATGAATAGCAGTATGTACAAAAACCATCATTACTTACCAACATTCTTTGGTTTTAGTGAACAACCAAGGAAGTAAATTACAGAGCTCTATTATCAGCCACAGTTCTGATCTCATTTAATGGATTCGCCACTACACTGGCAATATTGACTGCCTTTCTCGAACTGTGAAAATCTAATGTAAAATCCAACACGATCAATACTAAACAAAAACCTCCAGCTGCAGCCCCTTCCAATTTAAAGCTGATATTTGGTACAATTTACGGTATTATTCACGAGAAAGGCTTAGACCATCATAAAAGCGACTATAATTAGGGTAATTTTTATTGTAGCCCGCTGATTACAGCGTTTTTACAGTCAAAGGTAATTACATGTAATTTTCTTCCACTTTTAATACTAAGCAGCTATCTTTATTTAAATTCAGGAAGAAGAGTAAAACAAAAGAGAAAGAATAGGACTTTGAGTTATTCATAAACTAATTAAAGGGGCTTCTTAAATCCCATCCAGTAAAAGTGCCAAGCTTAGCAAAACGAAATCCGCATCTGCAAAGAAAAAAGATGAACTTCAAACAGTGACTTCAGCGCAGCGGTGTGCATGTAATTCTTAGGAAAAATTGCAAAAATGTATAATCCTTGTATAATTTAAATAAAGCGCCACATCCCTGATGGTTTAGAATAATTTTAATGCATGTTTCATTGCAAACTTAAATTGAATTGCTGAAGAACAACTTCAAATATGTGGAATACATCAGACAGAAATAGATTAATCGATTTGATTAAGAATTTACAAAAGTAATCATGATGAATGCAGAGTTATGATAGAACTAATTAACTGTAAAACCGATACAAGTACACTTTGTATTAAAAAAAAACTTCAACCATGCTCTGTTGATAATACACCTAAATATCAATGCTTGTTATATTGAGTCCAGTTTGAAATTCTTGGACCTATCTAACAAGGCTATTTTATATTTTAACACATATTAAGGAAAATAATTCCACCTGCGTGTTTACAGAGCAAGCAGTGTTAAATCATTCAACATTATATTAATGACTTAGAGCGGCGATTACTACTTGATCTGTGTCTCACCCTTGTATCCTTTGAAAGAATACACGCTGCTGTCCTGAATAAAAAGTCCACCTATTTTCTTACTAATAATGTTCATCTGTCATTGCAAGGGCCTTTTTTGCCAGGAGATAGAATGCCACCGATCTATGTCAGTAACTCTAATTAAATATTTACATTTCAGATACTATCTAAACAACGCATTTAGCAAGTTGCCTTTTTAGGTGGTGTCAGCACTCTACCGATTCTCATTAAGTGATAGACGGCCTTTACTCCCTTTCGGTCTGCAAGCGTATGAGAACATAGGCACTAGGTAATGCTCGAATCAGAGATAGTAGGAACTGCAGATGCTGGAGAATCCGAGACAACAAGGTGCAGGGCTGGATGAACACAGCAGGCCAAGCAGCATCATAGGAGCAGAGGCTGCTTGGCCTGCTGTGTTCATCCAGCCCTGCACCTT